AATATGGCGGAGAGACGTGGTTGCGCAGGACGGACCGTCCGTCATTAAATGGTATTTTTGATTGTTCTAAACGGTTGTGCTGCTTTTTCTGAGTTTGAAACCGCTCGTTTAAGCCTTCCTACAGTTTATTTGATTATATTATTTGTAGGTCTGGAACAAGGTTGTTTGAGAGAGGTAGGTTGCCTCTGGGCTGGAACTCTGTAACGAATAGAGATATTTTCTCTATCTCCATTGACGTCTCCTCTCTATTGATTTTGACAAGAAAGAAAAAGACAGCAAGTGCCATAGCGATAGGGATAACGATTCTTATCCGTCACAGAGTTCCCGCCCTCTGATAATTTTCTTTCGTCATCTGGGGTGCCTCAACATAATGCAAATCTCCAAGGTACCTCAGATTAGATGCGTCATCAAGTTACCCATTATCAGGCAACCTATTAACTTTAGTAATCTTGGGTCTGGAATATATACAGTCGTGAGCATAAAAAGTGAGACACCGGACTGACAGGTCATGTCATTTTCACTATTTTGGGTAAATCAGTCTTTTCTCTACAATGGATTTTTTTGTCAAATATAACAATCTCTGTCATTGCAATAGGTATTAGACTATCCAAGATGCTGTCAAACTTAAATTAAAATGTTCGCCAAGAGGCACACAACCCTTTCCCGCCATATTTTGCTTGTCAAAGTCACGTGTTTTGGATAGGCTAATAGCTGAGGAGCTCGTTTTACAATAGGAAAAAACGGGTGTTCCACTTTTTATGCTCACGACTGTACATGTCAAACTTTTTATCAGTTTTTGAAGTGAAACTTCCTAGGCGGCGGTCTGATATTCATTATTCAGAGGAGAATATGGAGAGTGATTTGAAAGACGAAAGACGCATCATGTAACGTCACGTTTTGGCAAATTTCGTTACAGGAGAGATGAGAGAGAAGGAAGCTAGAACGTAGAGAGACGGAGAAAGGCATCAACCAATGACAATGACAGCCGACGAACAATTCACACTAACCACACTAACAAAGGATTATAAGTAAAGAGGATTGCCTATTATTGTCAAGCGTCGATACCCTTGTAACGTCACTATAGATACGCGGGCTCTTCGTCTTCACCCCGACTCATAAGCTAATAGACCCTGAGATAGGGCCTGTTTAGTGGAATCATTTTTTTTTGTCTGGCATTTTGAGGGATGAATGTGGCTAGTTAGCTGATGAGATTATAAGTGGTTTTAATGCCTGCCCCCTGTTCGAAATGTCTACAGAACGTTTCGCCGGAAAACTCGATTTCGAACTGTGATTACCGTCTGGCGATTTTTCAGCGTTATTTTCACAACAAAACATTTCATTCTCTCGATTGCCAGACAAAAAATAAACACAGAAGGTTCTTTTCTTTGCTCTTGGAAGTTGACACTCATCCCCATTTTTTCACCTATTGAGAAGCATCTGGTATTTTTCATGGGTGAATTATTTATCAATGTCAATCTTTTATGTAAAAGCCAGAAAATTTGAGATCATTAAAAAAAAATTCTTCGTGTAAATCAATTTTTTTCTTCTGCAAATTTTCCGACGGGAGGCAGGCAATAAAATCACCCCTAATCTCATCAGCTTAGTAGCCACATTCAGCCCTCAAAATGCCAGACAAAAAAAAATGACTCCACTAAACAGCCCCTATCTCACAGTCTATAAGTCTCAAAGCTGTATAGAGGGTATAGTTTTTGAAAAGTTTCACTTCTTAATACGTATACGATGCTACACATGATTTTTTTGAACTGAAACTTCTTTTGCAGCGGCCTGATTTGGAGGAGAATGGAGAGTGATTTGAAAGAAGCGTTACGTGTAACCCTTGTGACGTCTCTACAGATGCGCGTTTGTCTATTGTGTAGCCTTTCATCTTTATACCCCGACTCATATGCTAAGTCTAAAAGTTGTATGAGACACAAGTTCATGAGGGAGTGAATAGTTTTTTCCTATGGCCACATACGAAAATTACAAAATTCGCACTAGCTGGTTCTTTGGAAAGCGCTAAATATCACTCGCGTGCTGAAAGTACTTTCAATACTCGTGCTAAAAATAGGTACTTTCAGCACACGTGTGGAAAATACTGTTGACATTTTTTGTGATTGACCTAACAATTTACTTTCAATACGTGGATTGAAAGTACTTTCAGCACGTTTGTTGAAAATGAAAAGAAATAAAATAAGAGAAAATTGATGTGAATTGGTTTCTGGTCGTAGGAAAAATAGTGTACATCGTACATCACTCGTAAGAAAGATAAAAGTCAAAATGACATATTATGTTGGCAATACAATGTAAAATTGTCATGCTTTCAAATTTTTAATGTAGAAAAGGCTTGTGTTGCCAACATAGTTACTTAATTTTTGACTTGGGGAATTATCTTTAAAAAAAAAACACACTTTAATAGCTATTTTCCTAACGAGTGCGGGAAATTTCTTCCCGCAAGAGTTATGAACTATATTTTTTCTACGTGCATACTAAAGCTGATGTTACGAAGAGTTTAATTCAAATAAAATGCGATTATGTAGAAGGTACAATTAAAAATGTATTGAAAGGTATTTATAAAAAGGTAAAGGTACAGGTATAGGTGTATCAACAATACAAACAATTCCATGTACCTATGTCACAATGATTATTTCAAACTCTTCCCGCACTGAGTGCGGGAAGAAATCTCTTCCCGCACCGGTGCGGGAAAAAAGTCTTCCCGCACAGCAAATCGTGCGGGAAGAGCCATTTCCCGCACGCTCGTAGACTTTCTTCCCGCACTCAGTGCGGGAAGAGTTTGAAATAATCATTGTGACATGGAATTGTTTGTATTGTTGATACACCTATACCTGTACCTTTACCTTTTTATAAATACCTTTCAATACATTTTGAATTCTACCTTCTGCATAATCGCATTTTATTTAAATTAAACTCTTCGTAACATCAGCTTTAGTATGCTCGTAGAAAAAATATAGTTCATAACTCTTGCGGGAAGAAATTTCCGGCACTCAGGAAAATAGCTATATCATCCATTTTCTACCAAAGATCGCACACGGCGAACGTGCCACAGAAAACACTGAACATGCGTCGGACCTTACGTCGGACGCAGTCCGTCAGCCGCGTGCGTCTGTGGTCGCTTCATAGGAAACGTACCTTAAGTTTGCCTTGAGTTGGTGTGGCGGGAGGCGCGGCACTGACTGATGGTGTAAACAAAAAACACATGTTCTTTTTTTAAATTTTAAATTCCAAGAGTGCAAGAATCCAACAACTTTAATTGAAAAAATACTAGTGTAAAATGACGAAATTCAGACCAATTTCACATGTAATCTTTGATATGGATGGAGTTCTTTTAGGTTAGTAAAAGTATACATTTTTTATTAATTTTTGTAGTACCTACAAAACAAGTTGAGACCACAGACAGACCTACTTTCATTTTTGAATTAGGATATTAAACGAATAGGAAAGATCTTTTAGGGGGATCAAAGTATTTATGATGCAGTCCAGATATAGATCATGGAATATACAAATACAAAAATTCAGTTCATCTCTTGCCATAAAAAGTCATCTACTGTCAAATAGTGCATGTGCTAGCATCCCATTTTGTTCAAATTATTTTCAGTTAGGTATGTACCTACATCATTAAAATTGGGTTTAGCTTTTATATAGGTCAAGTCGATACTCCCCTTCTGCCCAAAAGCCATTCTATCTACTCTACACACTACAAGTCTGGTATGGATTTTGCAAAGAGTGCAAGTCGCAAGTGGCCGAGAAAGGGGTATTCTCATGAGGCAAATTGAATTGATCAACTTTGGTTGAACAACTAGTTCGATTGAGAAGTAATGCTAGTGCATATCTTGTGAACAATTTGCAAAGACTACAACATAAAGCAATTAAAATCTTCAATTTACTTAAATTACTTTACTCCAACACAAACTTTGTATGTCGAGTTGTATCCTATCATTTTCTAAAAATCAGACAATGAAAATGTTTGAAGAAACTCAACTAATATACAATGTTAAAAATAAGAGGTGACAAAATTAAACTATAGCTTCAAAGTTCCACTGATTACCAGATGGGCATGGAACAAAAAACATAATAGGTCTATTCCAACCAGCCAAAAAACCGTCCCAAGAATCCTGACTGAGAAATGTATAGTTCTTTGCTAGGTTGGAACAAAGCTAATAAATATCTAAAGTTCGCCTTACGAGTCTAGTACTACGACGTTTGAAGGGCAAAGGGGAATAACGCCATTCATTTCGAGCTTTATGCTGCCTGTCATAGGTGTGCGCGCAGCGTTTTTAAATATTACTTTTTCCTTATAAATGTAGGTGTGTAACATAGATAAATATTAAGGTATTTTCTATTGGAAGTCAAATAGGCAATATTGCAATTTTTTATCCGCATTCTTTCCATAGTGCTAGACTCGTAAGGCAAATTTTACTACCAGGACCAAAAAGGGACAGCATTCGCCATACCAAAGAAATATAGAGACCTAAGAACGAGAATAATGCGCCAAAGAACTATAATGAAGAAGTGCGGCTTATACAATTGATTTATTCATAAACTCATGAATTCAGCTGTTGTACATTCGTGTATTTTCAATAGCACATAAGCATGATAATTTCGCAAAATGTCAATAGTACCAACCAGCAACCTTTCCTGAAAAACTTCACAAAAAAAGCATGGACATAATCATAAATCCAAATTGTTTCTTATACACCTTATGTTTGCTTGCATATTATAGCTAAAAGTTCCACTTTACAGTTTACATTTGTGTATTTCTTCATGGATAAATACCTACATGTAGAGATACACATATGTACACGCCTGACAAGTAAACATCTTGCATGCCAATTTTAATGCGAGAGAATGAAATGTGTAGAGAAGAAACGATTTTCCCTGTTCCACCTCTAGCATTCCCAGCGCTTTTTGCTGGAGGTGCAACAGGGGAAAACTTTTTCATGTATATGATTGTGTCTTTATAACATTGTCTCCTGAACTTGAAAATGGGAAAGAAGAAAGAAGATGTGGTAGAAAAATTGACCCAAGAAGAAACTGTTCAAAGGAAATTGAAATTTCAGAAATGGTCACTGATTACCAAAGTCAAAACAATGTGTGTGGTAATTTTGATAATACAGCTTACAAGTAATAATGGTGAAGTAGTGAATGCAAATATGGCTTCAGTAAGTTTTCGAAACTGGAGCAAAACAAGGCGACACTGGTCGTCATTGCGTTCTCGCGCCATCTGATGGGTCCGATTCGCCTCTGATCAGAAGGCTTCTTTTCGCTACTTACTAGTTTCGCTGAACGAAATGGCATTTGATTAGAGAATAGGGAATAAGGATACATAAATCATTATCAATATGTGAAAAAAAAAAAATTGATGAATTCCTGTTAAAAGTTCAGAATTCAGGAACATATCAAGAAACTAGATACAGTAATGCGACAAGAATTCTCATAAAATTAAAGTTGAAAATCACTTTGAAATATACTTGGCTCCAAATTTCGGTCTTTGTTCCACTTATTCATCAAACTCACAGGCTCATGAATATTGTCACGATAGGTATTGAATTGAGAGCCATATTCCAGAATCCAGCTGTTTACGTCGAGAGCGCGTCTATTCTAGGAATTTTATCCCCAATTTTGTTATCAATGTCTTTTAGACTCCCTTTAAAGTTCCCTATTGCTTTTTCTTCTTGGTAGATTTTATATTTGAGGTTTTTGTTTGCATAAAATTAGCTCTCGAGTTTTCTGCAACATCTGCAGTGTTTCTATCAAAGCCCCAAACATCCTCCTGTTTCTGGCTTTAAACTTATCATTATTTTGTTTGTCCAACACTCATCTTGCCTGCTGGGTATCTCTCCAGGTGCAGCTATAGATGATGTTTCAACTGGTTCATTTGATACTCTTTCAAGAAACCTCTTAAATACTCACCCAGGGTTCCTTTTTTTACCACATCATTCTCGAAATTTTTACTAAACTTAAAAACCGGTGAACGGTCATTTTTGTTGTCCAGAGGTCTTTTTTGCCCTGGTCTGTGTCACATCTTTTCGTTAAGTACGATTCTATAAGTTTTAAGAAACATTCACCGGAGCCCATATCTTAGAGTTTTCTCAATAACGACTTATGGCACACACTAGAAGTATTCTTTCGATCTGAACAAACTGATCGAAGTCACTTTAGGTTTGTTTCAAACAATTTTCATCCAGTTTTAGAACGATTTTATTGACCCCAGCTGTGTTTTTGACACCTCATGAACAAACCTTATGTGATCACAATCAGTATGCTCAGATCGAAAGAATACCAGGACTATCAGTGGCCTTTGATATGTCCGTGAAGATCATGTCCACCTGTTTTCCTGATTCCATCAGGAATAACTGTTGGTGGACAGAAAGATTTGTAGCAGTGGTTTTTTCCTTGCAGAAACCGTGTTGTTCATTAGCAATGCAGTTACTAAAGCAAGAATACACATCGTCTGTTTAGAATGGATTCTATAATTTTTAAAATGTGCGATAGTAGAGACATGCCTCTATAATTATTCACATCTCTTGGATAGGGAAAAGTGTTGAGATTTTCCAACTTCTGGGAAACATGCCAGTATCGAAAGAACAGCGTTTAAGAAGCACTGAGGAGAGAGCTTCCAGTCCAGGCCTTTGAGGCAAAGAGATGCAGATTTTTTCTCCGTATTTCCTCAACTGTGAAGTGATGATCGGAGAGTAAGTAGTCTTCTTTAATCTCAACATCCTTGTTGTCAGAGTGAATGTGTGGCAAAGAATTCAGCTGTTGAGGGTTCGAAGAACGGATATTGTTAAAGTGCATCTGATTCGGCAAACCTGCATCTTTCTTCGAAGATCTTATAAATGTGGTAACATGTAACAGGTAGCACATGTCACTAAGGCATTTCACGTCTTTCCGGGCTTCAGAGTAAGCTTCATAGTCCGTTTACCGTCTTGATCTTCTGTACTTCTTATAGACTGGATTTTTATGTACAATTGAGTTTTTTGGCTCAGAGTTGATCAATTTGGGATATTTGCCGATCCTGATGGTTTTTTTGGGAACCTGAACATACTGATTAATTCCTTGCTGTATAACTTCGTAGAAACTAGCTATCGCTTTGTTAGAGTCACTATTACTAAAACCCAGATTCGAGTCAATACTTTCAAAGTAATTGTTCAGTTCCGCATAGTTCGCTTATCTGAATAGATAGTAGGATCTTCCGCTTTCAACGATTGTCCACTTCCGTATGAGAAACTAAGCTCCAAAGGTGGATGTACCACCCTACACAGCGAAAAGTCACTGGTTTTGCTCACAGGTGGAGAAGAACATACTACTATCTATCAGAGTTTGCTGGGCGAAGGAGTGAGTAAATTTGTTATACTGTCTTGACTTCTCTAAGGCAAATCCTAACTCTCGTTTTTGGGAAAAGAGTGCCCAATAATTTGGGGCAAAGATCTTAACGCCTTTTGAAATCATTGAGTTTTCACTCACTGTACCTAGTCCTGAGCATTTTCGCAGTCTTGCTTTACAACCATTCTGATGTTGTGGATAGTGATTTTTCTTCTATTTTAATATTTTTCAGAGGCAATCAATAAAATAGATAATTGTGAATATCCCTTCACTGACAGAAACGGTTATTCTCCTGTATCTTAGGGCTCGCTTTTGAAATTCTTACACAGATTTTTGCATACAGTTTTAGGCAAAAGTGCTGATTCTAATCATGTTTACTGTTAGCTATGGAAACTATCTAACTAAATCAAAATGTCTATTTCCAATTTTTATAACTGAAAAAAAGAGGTTGTTTATTCTAATACAAATTAATTATAGACACAGAACCGTTATACACAAAAGCAATACAAAACTTAGTTGGCAAATATGGAAAAACATTTACTTGGGATATTAAAAGCAAAATGATGGGTCTTCATCATAGCGAAGGAGCAAAATACATAGTCAAAGCCCTCGATTTGCCTTTGACATGGGAGGAATACGACGAATCCATTCAAGAAGAGTACAACATTGTTCTAGCAAATCCCGATATTTTTCCCGGTGAGTAATAAACTGGTTATTTTCTAATTCTAGATACTGAGGTGACGTATAGGAATCAGTGGCGGTTCCTCCATAAGAGCACATGTGCACGTGCACTCCCAAATTAATATCAAACAACTTTAAATTTAATTTTATCATTCTTCAAATTTTAACAATCTACCTGTAAAGTATTAATTTAAAAAATTAGTGGCCAAATGCGCCAGCAAAACAGACGCAACCGGCATTTATTATGAATTACAAATTATGTGCACCCCCAATATGTTATACCACGAGCCGCCACTGATAGGAATGCAATCGCTACGATTGCTAAGAGGTTCGGGAAAAAATATACAAATGACATAGTAGCTAAAGTAACTGGTACAGTGGAACATGAATCGGCTCGCATAGCCGTTACTGAGATGAAGCTTCCGATGCCGGTTGAAGAGTTCAGGCACGAGTTTCGCCGTACTGCCCATGGATTTTTTGCGAAACATGGGGCTCCACTTATACCAGGTACCAATGTACTATTGTTGTTGTCATATTACACATCTATACTTCTCACTGCAGCTCTAATAGCTTATCGTGTTTCCGTTGTATGGACTCTACTACTCATTCATACTGCAGTTTAGATGATCAATCGCATCATGGGTTGATATACTGACGCCGCAGTCACTTATTCCATCCCGGCATCACGTTATACATACTATTGCCCCAATTCATTGTTGATAATTTTAATAATATTGCTTGCTTGTCAAAAGGTATTGATGTATTGGAATTTAGGATTGAAACAGTATTTTCGCCTTTACACAAATATTTTCTTATGAGTTTTGGTTCATGTGCATTATTACAATACATTTTTTTTTAGGTGCAAAGAAATTAGTAGATCACCTTTCCAAGCACAAGATTCCTATAGCAGTAGCTACTTCGTCGTCAATGGACAGTTTTAAATTGAAATCGGCAAATCACAAAGAGTTTTTCAAGCTTTTCGATCATATAGTTTGTGGCGGCTCCGATCCGGAAGTGAAACATGGAAAACCTGCTCCTGATATATTTTTAGTAGCAGCAGAAAGGTAACTAATTCAAGTTTGTTATAATATATGAAATAAGAATCGATGCAACCAAATTTACAATCTAGTATTACTATTAGTGGAACAGCAAGATTATTGACTAAACTCACTCGACTTGATCTCTATATTTGATAAATCATTATCTTTTTTTTTTACAGGTTTCCATCCAAACCGAATGCGGAAAATTGTCTAGTGTTTGAGGATGCACCGAATGGCGTTAAAGCAGCTGTAAGTGCGGGCATGCAAGTGGTTATGGTGCCAGATGAGAATATTGCCGAGGATCAACGCAAAGGTGCAACTGTGGTAGTGTCCTCGCTGGATTTAACACCTTTAGAGAAATTTGGCCTTCCGTCTCTCAAAGAAACATGATATTGGTGGATCGAATTTAATTTTGTGTATACCTTTATATTATATTAGAAGAATATATACATAGTTAAGCATTAGTTTGGAGTTTAGTTGATGCGGCTCTTTGCAAATCCATAGACTAATACAGATTAGATGATATTTGGAAACAATGCAGGGCCGAGAAATGATCTTTGAGGAACCCTACACCTGTCCTGATCAACTCCGAATCTCTGTTATCATCTTTTGCCTTATGTTGGGTAAATAGTTTTCGAATTAAAGGTACGAAAATTCTTTAACACCCACCTCCTCCAACTTCAACAACAAAATCTCACAGTGTCCAATGCCTTCTACAAACTCAGAGAACAAATATTTCTGCTGGAATTTGTGAATCTGAGATAAAATGTATCTCTGTGTACTGACCCTAGAAATAAGAATGGTAAATTCCTTGCATGACCTTATTTTTGGAGATGATTTTTCAAATGATCTCTTACATCAGTCCTGGACCCTTAGTAACATAGTCAGTACAGCACCACAATCTGATTAAGATGGTTTTTGTTCAGTGGCGTATCTACCGGTATGCCATGTGTGCGAAGCACACAGGCCCGGGCCTGAGAGGGGCCCGTGAGCTCCATAGTGAAACTGCAAAAAAAAACGTAAAAAAATCGAGATTACACCAAGAAAAAAAAAAGTAGCTACAGAAACTTCAACATACTGAAACAGGAAATCCTTCCAAGACCCAAAATAGGAATTCTAGGCTTCAAAAATTTTTCACATTTAAAAAATTTTTGGATGGAAAATGCGTCCCTGATGCAATTTTGACGCATTGCCATGACAAAAGTGACAGAATCTCAGACAGAAGTGTCGTAACAATATGGCGGAAGTGGGATACGCTTTTTTCTCCTTATGTCGCCTCCTTATTGTTCTACCTCAATAATTTTGCCTAAATAAGTCAATTTTCTTTGAATTTTTCCTGGATTGATTTTTCACTGGAAAATTTCGAAATTTTCCTATAATGAGCTCCTCACTTTTCCCTTTATCCTGGAATCCTGGACAGGAAAAAAAAAATTTTTCTTCTTTCTTCTGGAAAAATTTCACAAGTTTTGCTTTATTAGTTTTCCAGAAATAAATTAAAATGTGAGAGGATGAGTTTTTCTCAATTTTACTTGAAAAAATCATTTTTTCAGAATTTTTCCTGGATCGATTTTCCATTAGAAAATTTTGAAATTTTCTAATAATAAGCTCCTGACTTTCCTCATTTTCCTCTTCTGCCAATTTTCCAGGAAACAATTGAAATGTGAGAGGATGAATTTTCCTTAATTTTACTTGAAAAAGTAATTTTCCAGAATTTTCCCTAGAGTGATTTCTCACTGAAAAATTTCGGAATTTTCCTATAATGAGCTCCTCACTTTCCTCTTTTTCTTGGAAAATTTTCCCTCTGCCAGTTTTCCAGAAAAAAATTAAAATGTAAGAAGTGAATTTTCCTTAATTTTGCTTAAATAAGTCAATTTTCCAGAATTTTTTATGGAGTGATTTCTCATTTGAAAATTTTAAAATTTTTGCAATAATTACTGTAATTTTCATAATTTTTCGTAATGTCCATAATTCTCGTAATTTTTCGTTATTCACGTAATTTTTCATAATTTCCATTTTTCGTAAATTCTGTAATTTTCTGTAATATTGAAAAAATTTCCGTAATTTACAAATAATTCCTGTAATTTTGAATAACTTTGAGTAATTCCTGCATTTTTGGAATAATTCCTGTAATTCCCCTATTTTTTTGTAATTTCAGAATATTTTTTGAAATTTTGAATTATGTATATAATTCCTATAGTTTTGAATTGATAATTTGAAAAATATAAGAATTGCAAAAATTTCGGAAAATTTTACGAAAATTACAAAAATTGAAATTAGCAGATATTACAAAAATTTCAAAACTACAAAAAGTTACTAGATTTTTAAAAAATTATGAGAATTAAAAAATTAAAAGAATTAAAAAATTACCAAAAAAAATTATTAAAGAATTACAAAAATTGAAAAATATTAAAAACTACGAAAAAATCAAAAAATTTCCGAATTTGCGAAGATTCCTCAAAAAATTACGGAAATCACAAAAATTAGGAAAATTATAGAAATTCCATTAAAAAATTACGGAAAATATAGGAATACGGAAAATATAGAATTAATAAAAATAAATTAAAAAATTATAGAAATTTCAAAAATTACAGGGATCGCGAAAATATGAAAAAAATCGGAAAAATTGCAAAAATCACGGGAAATACATTAATTATTAAAAAACTAAAAGGAAAATTAAAAAATTACAAAAAAATCGGATATTACAAAAGCAATGAAAAAAAAAATTGAAAAATACTGGAAATTCAAAAATTATGCAAAATTACAAAAATAATTGAAAAATTACATAAAATACGGAAACTACAAAAAAATAACAAAAATCATTAAAATTGCAAAAATATCATGAAAGTTTGAAAAAATTACAGCACTTACAATTATTGAAAAATTAAAATGAGAATTGCAAAATTACGAAGAAAACCGGGAATGGAAATACTTATGTAATGTAAATTATTTTAAAAAATTACGGGAATTTCAAAAACTACGTGAAATTGCAAAAATCATTAGCAAATTACGGAAATTACGAAAAAATTACAAAAATCACGAGGATTATAAAAATCACGGGAATTTCAAAAATTATGTAGAACTGCGAAAATCATGGGTAAATTGCGAAAATTAAATTTGAAAAAAATTAGGAGAATTATAAAATTACGAAAAAAATCACGGGAACTTCAAAAATTATTAAAATTTCGAAAACATAGGAAAATAACGTATAACGGAAAAGTAACAAAAATTACGAGAAATGCAAAAATTACGGAAAATTTAAAAAGTTACGGAAACCACCATTATAAAAAACTAAAAAGCGGAATTATTAAATTTGAGTATTACAAAAGCAATGGAAATTATTGGCATTTTCAAATACATATTACGTAGAACTACAAAAGTCATTGATAAATTACGTAAATTACAGGAATTATAAAAATGAAAAATAACGAATATTACAAAAAATCACGGAAATTTCAAAAAATACGGGAATTACAATTATTGAAAAATTAGGAGAATTATAAAATTACGAAAAAAAAATATAGAAATTTCAAAAATTATGTAAAATTACGAAAATTATTGGAAAATTACGTAATATGGAAAAATATTAACAAAAATCACAAAAATTTCAAAAAATCATGAAAATTACATTAATTATTAAAAAAATTGAGAGAAGAATTATAAATTAGAAAAAAATCGAGTATTACGGAAAACAATGAAAATTATTGAAAAAAATTACGCGAATTTCAAAAATTACGTAGAATTGCAAAAATTATCGGAAATTACGTTTTACCGAAAAAATAATAAAAATCACGAGAATTTCAAAAATAACGGAAATTTCAAAAACTTACGGGAATTTATCATTATTGAAAAATAAAATAAAGAAATTACGGGAATTAAAAAAATAACAGAAATCACGAAAATCATAAAAAATTACGGAAATTAGGAAAATCATAAAAAAAATTAGGACAATTAGAATAATTATAGGAATTGCAGAAATTACGGAAATTACGAAAAATTGAAAAAAAAAAAATATATCGGAAATAACAAAAATTAAGGAATTTGTTAATTAACGAAAATTACGAGAATTGGAAAAATTGCAGAATAAATTGCGAAAAATTTCGGGATTACGGAAAATAATTAAATTTTTAAAAAATTATGGAAATTAGAAAAGTTACAAAAGTTACGAAAATTTATTAACAAATTGCAAAAATCGAAAAAACCTATGATGATTTTCAAAAAGTTAGAAAATAACAAAAATTACAAGAATCAGGAATTACAATTACAAAAATTATTATAAAGACCGGGAAATTATAAAATTTCAAAAAACGTCTAAGAAATTTAAAAAATTACGTCAATTGAAAATTGAATTGAAAATTACGAAAACTATCAAAGTTACGAGAATTATAAAAAATTACAGGCATTACGAAAAAGTTACGGGAATTACGAGAATTAGAAATCACAAAGGCTTTCGGGAAATGATTTTGAAAAATGCCCAGAAAAAATACGGAAATTATGGGAATTACCTACTTATTTTTGAAATATACAAAAACGTGGAATTATAAAAATAACGGAATTTTGTGAGAAACTACGGGAATTAAAAAATTACGAAAATTTGAAGAACAACAAGAATTAATGAAAAAATTATAAGAATTATTTGAGAAATTACAGGAATTAATAAATTTCTAAAGAAAAATTACGGAAATTACGAGTCTTCGAAAATTACAAAATTTGCTATAATGAGTTCTTTATTTTCTTCTTTTTTTGGAAAATTTTCACAATTTTCTTGCCAGTTTCCCGGTTGTAAGAGGGTGAATTTTGCCTAAAAAAGTCAATTTCCCAGAATTTTTCCTGGAGTGATTTTTGACTGGAAAATTTTGAAATTTTTCTATAATCTCACTTTTCTTTTACTTCTGGAAACATTTCATAATTTTCCCTTTGCCAGATCTCTAGAAAAAAATTAAAATGTGAGAGGATGAATCCTCCTTAATTTTGCTGAAAAGTAAGTTTTTCAAAATTTTTCCTGGATTAATTTTTTACTGAAAAATTTTGAAATTTTCGTAAAATGAGCTTCTCATTTTCCTCTTATTCCTGGAAAATTTTCAAAATTTTCTCTTTGCAAGTTTTGCAGAAAAAAAATTAAAATAATTTAAAAGAGGTGAATTTTCCCTAATTTTACTTGAAAAAGTCAATTTTTCAGATTTTTTCCTGAAGTGATTTTTCACTGGAACATTTTGAAATTTTCGTAAAATGAGCTCCTCATTTTCCTCTTATTCCTGGAAAATTTTTAAAATTTTCTCTTTGCAAGTTTTCTAGAAAAAAATTAAAATATAAGAGGGTGAATTTTTTTTAATTGCTTAAATAAGTCAATTTTTTAGAACATATTTGAAATTTCAGTCGTAAAAAAAAAGAATCACCTTTTATCGTTTGTACATGATATTTAAGAACACCCTGTATAATACGCAGTTAATTAATTTATATATTTGGGACTTCAATGATTTTTTGAGAGCCGGTATTTCAATGTCACCCTAAGATATAGAATAAACATAGACATTGACAACATTGTCTGACCTTGTTCGATGACGTCATCTTAAATCCTATATTTTAAGCTAAGTCTTGATTTTAACAAAATAATTGCGAACGTGCTCTATGAATTAATCAACGAGAAATACTTTTTCCAAATTATGACGTCATCGATGACGTAAGTAAGTACAAAAAGTGCAAAAAAATACATAAAATAATTTGGTTGCACTAATTTTTTATATAAGTGTTAGGTAGTGCTATGGTGGTATGCCAAATAGGAGTGCTAATTTTTGCTTTAGGGGTGCTCAGCACCCCGAAGCATTCCCCTAGTTGCGCCTATGGTGATAAATTTACCTGCACTTGTGAACAGGATATAATTATTCATACCAGTTTTGAAAATGGTGAATTCACAATTCAACGTTTAAATAAAAATACCTACCTAATAAAAAATTTTAGGAGTGTTTTTTGAACGAATTTTGGGTCGAAATTTGGGTTAGTTTGGGTTACTCAAAAAAAAATTTAGAATCCGGCGGTGGGCTTGTGATGGGCCCTCAAAAATTTTGGCACACAGGCCCGGAGCTGGGTTGATACGCCACTGTTTTTGTAACTGTCAGTTTCAGTTGGAAATTAAAAAGGTATTGGAATGGTCAATAGAGTAGCTATGCTAGACCTCTCACTTTTGGTTATTGATTAATTCAAATTTTGTAAAAAAGAAACATTTATTAATATATACATCCAAAAAAAATTGATAATCAACATCAATATCTAATAAAACGAAACGCTACTAGGGTCAAATTCACCAGAAAATGGCGATCCTTTGGCGTTCCAGGCCTTTCGTAAAGTTGCTTGTTGTAAAAGATCATTAGAAGTTGGAAGACCCAATCTGAAATCAGATAATCATTTTATAATTTCTGTATGAATGGCAACCACATTACAAAAACCTTTTTCTTTCCTGATTCCAATTTAATTCTTCAATTTTAGCTTGGGCGTCTTCTGTCAGATCCTCATAAGGTCTTGAACAGTCTATTTTTGTTAGATCCAGCCTTAAATTTTAATTTTAATTTTTTGTAAAATCAAAATAATTATCATTACTTTTGCTCGAACGTAAACAAACAATCCCACCAGAGTTCTTTACATTTGTCCAAAGGTATTTGTAGAGTGTTCCCGTCCAGTGACCATATAGCTTCGTTGTGTTTACATTTATGGCATAGATCACCTAAGAATTTTGAAAATTATATTCTATTGAAATTCATGTGAAGTAAATATTAAGGTGGCTTTTTATTCATACCTTCGAGTAAAATTCCTCCTTTATGCCTAACTGATATTTTATGCGCCAATATGGTCACTTTGAGGTCCTTGGCTTTCACATTTTCAGGAAGTTTTATTGTAATCTCGATCTCATTTATTGTTTGAGACCAACAGTAATTGTCATATACAGCTCCATTGTAGCTGTCAGATTTGGTAAAGTCGAAATGCCTATTAGTCACTGGTTCAGGTTTTTTGGTACGATTATACGAGTGTTCTGTAAATATATATTTTTTTGATCATTTCATTATTAAATCATAACATTAATTGAATCCTTACCAACATTTATATTGTCAACTTCATCAACTATTTCTTCAGTTATATCTTCTTTTTCATTGACATTTTCTGCTCTAACTACTTCCTCAAAAACTGCTTGAGGAATTTCGTGTTCTTGTAAAACAACCGCTACGTCTTCATTATTTGTCGATTTCGGAATCCATTTGTAATAAGTGTTTCTTACAAGATTCTCGGCTAGGCCTTTTGGGAGTCCTATGGGCGAATTTGGTTCCGGTGCAATACAATAAAAATCAGTTCTAAAACAATTTGGTGAAATTAATAAGGGTTCAAAATGGAGTAATATGAGGCAAGGGACCAAAATGAGGCACTTTTTGCGTCACCTCGCCTCACCCCTTAGGGGGTAACTACCATACTGTTTTTTTGTTTTAATACGAACCTACCTTATGTTACCAATGTGAAGTTAGCAGCCAAAACTTTTTCATATTTTGATAGGGTTTGCGTCAATGGGATTTTGCATGGGGGTTAAAATGGTGTTAAAATGGTACCCTATCAATTTCATGGCTAGACTCGAAGTCCAAGTTAGAAAAAATTACGAAAATCTCAATATTTATGCATATTTTTTTTTCTGTGAAGATATAGAAAAAAAAACACGAAAATCTCAATAGTTTTTCATTTTTATTTGTCAAGGATAGTTTTTCATGTTTCGATGGGGTTTGAGTCAATGGGATAATGCATAGGGGTTGGAAATCATGTTGAAATAGTACCCTATCAATTACATGGCTAGACTCGAAGTTCAAGTTAGAAAAAAAAAATACGAAAATCTCAATATTTATGCAATTTTATTTGTTAAGGGTTGTTTTTCATATTTCGACAGAATTTGAGTTAATGGGATTTTGCATGGGGGTTGGAAATCGTCTTAAAATAGTACATAGTACCCCATCAATTTTATGACTAGACCCGAAACGCAAGTTAGAAAAAAATACGAAAATCTCAATATTTATGATTTTTTTTTTTGTTAAGGGTAGTTTTTCATTTTCGACAGAGTTTGAGAAAATGGAATTTTGCAAGGAAACTTTAACAATTATAAAACTTTTACAACATATATGTGGTACCTAACTTCTTATAATAAATATAAATATAAAATATAAACATATAAAACTCTCAACAGGATAAAAAGCACTATGACTGACTAGATGAATTTGATTCTGTTTTTAATGCTATGCAGACTAATGTTAAAAATATCTATATTAAGCCTATTTATCATATAGTTTGCCAGTCTAGAGATTCTTGTTAAAGGAGAATAGTAACCATAGTTTGTACGGTGATTTTTAATAGAAAATAACCTATTGCTCCTAATATTACTGCGGAGAATGTTCAAACCTATTAACGATAAAAGCTCGGATGAATTAATCATGTTGTTAATTACTTATTTTATATAAAATACGCGTCCTGTTGGTCCCTTCTTTGTTGTAATGTCTGCATATTTAGAAGAGTCTAAGTTCATCATAGTCAATAGAATCATACTTTATACTCAATTTGTAAGCAATAAATCTTAAAAATCGCCTCTGTATTTTCTCTAATTGATATTTATGTTTATCCCCGTGTTTATCATAGTAGGGAGACCAAACAGGGCTAGCATACTCCAGCACTTGCCTGACAATAGATGAATAGGCATTTCTTAGAGTAAATAATTAAAATCCTTCAAGCTACGTAATAAAAATCCTAACAACCTCATAGCTCTGTTGGAAATTCTTTCAATGTGCTCGATAAAATTCAATTCTACATCCAAGTAAATTCCTCATGACATACCTAAACTATCTCCAGATCAATTGCCCCAATTGAATAATCAAAAATAAAAGGACTTTTCATTCTCCGAAAGGACATAATTTTGCATTTGTCTAAATTAAGGTCTAAATGATTCCTTCCACACCACAAATAATAGTTATTTTACATCACAAGTGCGTTTACGAACATGATTACAATAACGAGTGTGAAAGATTAGAACGACGAGGTCGTAGACCGAGTCGTCCTAATCACACGAGTTTTGTAGTCATGTTAAAACGCACGTTGTCGCATATGTCTGAACAGGTTAGTGTTAGTGCGATGCAGTTATGGTTTGGAACGCAACCATCTAAACCGCGGGAAAATGGAACGCTAAACGGTACGAATGGTGTAAATAGTGCAACACTAATGACGGGTCAGGGTAAAAAGTGTGAGTAGTACGCACCTGAAATTTAATTATTTATTTATTTATTTATTTAGGTATAAGAAAAATACATTTGAAGTTGAACAGAGTTTGAATCTAAAAAAATCTATCCTAAAACAATTCTCCTGGCCTTCGTCTTAAATTTATCCAGAGATAAACCAAAGAACTCAAGGCCCTCACAGAACTTATTTACATTGGCAGATATTCTATTCACAGGACTGAATAGTAAGTACCAGGTTCGACAGTAAGGAATGTGCAGTAAAGATTTACTTCGTGTCTGATAACTTTGAATGTGTAGATTAAAACGTTCAAGACATTCGTGGCTTTTTATGTAGTAGTTAAGGATTTTAAATGCAAAACAGACATCAAAATATTCCCTTCTGCGAACAAGAGTAGATAAGTCTAAATAAGTCAGTCAGGTCATCACTGAGAATCACACCACTCAAAGAAAGTTTGTACCTTGCAGACTTGATTTAAGTAATTTTGATGGCTGATTGAAGCATATTCCTTATATTTTACCCTTAATTGATAGTCCAAGAGCCGGCAATATTAACGGGTATGTGATCGTTACAATGGAAAATTTCTACATGAAACAATAGTTCATAGTAACCTTTAAACCAAATGGATGGGTTGCCTCGATTCTCATGGCCGTGAAATTGCTTTATAAAAAGATACTTTTATAAATAGAACAAAGCCATAAGCGCAACAAATAAGAAGTACCATCGTCACCAAAAGTAACTGGGACAGCATCATATCAGCTCTTGTACTATTATATTAATTTTATTTTCAAATATTTGTCAAACTATAAATTAAATGCATTAAAATAAGTGACAGTAGAATAAGTCCAGGAGATTATTATGCATTATGCGTGTTCCAGATACTTTTGGTGACGATGGTACCTTGCGGTGTAGGGGGTACCATAGAGAAATATAATAAACCAAGGTAAGAGTACCTGATTGATAACATGAAAGTTTGTATAGCGCTGACGTCACAGCGACGGTGGCGTCAATAGTGGCAGCCGGAACAAATACTGAAATGGCGGGAATTTTGAAATTTGACTTGAGTTGATTGCACAAAAAACTTACTTATGTTGTTCCACATCTTTTTTTCTCAAATCCGAATGAGAAAAATGATGTGGTACTCCATAAAGTTTTGAGTCATTTTTTGATGTAGATTAAAAAAAAAAGGCAAAATAAACACTAAATTGTACTAGAAAAAATATATATTATAGCTAGATAGGTCAAATACCTAAAGAGTTTACAAACACAGTTATTACATCCCTTATACATGCTTTAATGTATGTACAAGCTAAGCTGGCCAAGGCCTAACATCTACATTTTATCTCTTCTGACTGAGGTCTCCTAAAACAGTAAAAAAATATGCCGTATATCACAAAACTAACATGTATACTTACTGGTTCAGTTTATCCTAGTTGTACATAATATTATAGGTACGCGATACAGAGTGCCTTAATAAAAATGACAATTTCTTCTTCTTGTTCTTTAGATTGTGTGAGTTCGAGTCTTCTTAGACGACTGACTGAAAATGACAAATTTCAACACGGAAATGTCGTTATTTTAAGGTTACCTTTTTGTTTTCTCGGTCACAGTTTCTATAGTTATGGATGTTTGATATGATAGGTTTCTACAGAACAGCTAGGAAAGCTCTGTAACTCATACGGTGTCCTTGTCTTGTGAATTGGTATGACAGAGAAAGATGAAACAGAATCGAATGATCGGACTGATCTTTCGTAAGTCTAGCTTTCCAAAAATTCCGCAATGCGCTATGCGCAACCGGATGCGCAGTAATAGTATAACCTATTTCGGCTATACTTTTGAAGGTCTTTTTATTTTTTATTGTCTATGGGGGGTACTCATCCTATGCGGCAAACATTTTTTTAACACAATTTCATGTTTCTTTTTTTGTATTGCAAAATCCTCTTCACAGATTCCTCTTTTAACTTTAAAAGTGACTTTGAAAGCTGTCACTTTCAAAAAATTGTATTCAGCATGCAAAATATTGCGCGCGCTCGACTTTCAATGAGGGTTGCCATCATTTCCGGCCATCAAAATCGAGGCAACCCTATATATTATTTGAGAAGACATATTAAAGAATATATCTACCAATTTGCAGCTATTGCAACGATAACATTGTTCCTTCGAAAAAAGAGGGGTAGTTTACGCCCAGCCACCAAAGGGTTGCGGCTATGAGAATCAAGGCAACCCATCCATTTAGTTTAAAGGTAACTATGAGCTATTCTTTTATGTGAAAATTATCCATTGTAACCATCACATACTCGTTAATATTGCCGGCTCTCCTACTATGAGAAAACTCAAGATACTTAATTCTCTAAAGAAGATGTTTGCTTAATTTTTTTGTGCGCAGCTTTCTTTATTAAAATCAATTCTTTCAAGGTGACATCTATCCATTTTGGAAGTTTAGGGTTCTCAGGCCGTTTCACTAGGGTTGATTGTTGATACTTTAATAGCATCATAAAGGTTTCCATAAAATTATTCAATTAAGTGATCCAAGTCCTCAATCAATAAAATATTACCCCAATCAACCATTGATAATGCCAATTCGAGATCTCTAAAGTTACACAATTTGAAATTATAGTAAAAGTAATCAGCTGACAAGTGATCTATTAATTTGTCAATGTTCACCACAAACTCTAATGCAGGGTGCGGTTTATAATTTTCTATAAGCCTATAGACCAGTGGTTCCCAAACTTTTTTCTTTTGCGCCCCCTTTCTGAAATCAAGAAGTGGTTGCGCCCCCCTTCCTTCCCCCATCATACAAAAACTTTTTTTTTTACTTACTGTAACTCCTCTGAACTGGACTTTGGCAGACGAAGAATGGACATGACAGTGGGCAGCGAGCGTGCGCTGTAGCAATTACTGTATTCCTTTTATAGATCGAGTTAGACAGAACGTGTCGCTCTAGAGCTCCTCGGAGTCACTCCAAAACACACAATTCAGAATAATTCAGATATTAGAGAGTTCTCGTGCTGTCCAAATTTCAAATACCGTAACGTTATTTGACAAGTATGACAGTTCTTACGGTATTAGCGTTAGCGGAGCCGCCCGCTAC